GTGGTGGTGGTGGTGGTACTGGTGGTTTAACACAGAGAACAAGGGAGTTGAAGCACAGTGGGGTCCGGCCAGCAAGGCCCCGGAGGTGGAAATAGCCACAAGTATTTGGCAAGCGTGTGTTTATATTTATAGCGAGACCTCCTTTACTCACCACCGAGTGAATGTGCTCATCCAGATGACTACTTGTTTGCAAATAGAATGGTGCTTGGGACCACTAGAGGGGTATTGGATAGGGAGTGGGGAGGTATTTGGTGTACCTGCTGAGGGAGGAGAGGACAGGTGAGGTGAAATTAGAGGGGTGCTTTGAAGTACAGTTATGGTGGTGAGGGCCGGTGCTGCACGTTAGGGCTTTGTGGACACATGTTGTGTATAAGGTTTCTATAGAGAACAGATGTAGTGTTCCAGGTTTGTGTGAGAAGTTTGATGAATTGTGCTATAGACATATGTGTATAAATGACAAGTGTATGAGAGGCAAGCTTGGTTTTAAGGTTTACATGTGGTAGACATGTAATACAAATATGGTACTGGTGTAGTACTGGTGTGGCACAAGTGGATCACTAGTCTGATCACAAGGTAATTCCTTATACATAGGAATTATTATTATTATTAACATCTTTATTGACAAAATTAATTACAATTTTGCCTAATCTGAGGATTTCGATTAAGTCGTAAGTGAGGATAATTCTGGTGTTCACTGTCACACAGGGCAGAGGGTATACATAAAACAATAGGTCTAAACTATAGGCGGAAGTACATATATATCAAGGTTACAATACAGAGGGAGGTCCTTACAAGCCAACTACTGATCATCTCCTGGGGATACGATTCCCAGGTATGGCATGCCAAATGTGTCAGTGTGTTGAAAGAGACATGTGAGGCTTGAGAGATGCAACAGGAGCTGAATGTTAGATGCCAGACGTGGAGTATAGCGGACCGTGTGGGTGGTATATCAGGTGTGTGGCCCAGGTGTGTGGTGCTCACCTGCCAGTACTTACCTATCAATGGCTACCGAGGAGTGAGATGGGAGGACGCCTCCCCAGGACATAATAATTAATTTTGTCAGGGGACAGGAAGCCAGAGTGTATTCATACACTTTAGGCTTTTATCGAGGTCCCTCCTTCCTTCAAGACCCCGCCTAGGATGCAACCCCACAACAAACTGACTAACTCCTGATTACCTACTTACCGCTAGGTGAAAGGAAATGTGCCCAACCATTTCTGTCCCGCGCGGGATTCGAACCCAGAATTCTCGATTGTGCGTCGAGAATGAACCCCGACTGTACTACCGGGACCCTACATGAATGGAGATCTCCCAGCACAGACGCCTCCGCCACGTGAAACGACAGTTACAGCCCCGCTCCTGTGCCAGGTAAGTCCACTACGGGCTCACCATAGCCTGTGCTACTTGGAACTTTTTGTTCCTAGAAGCTGAATCTTAAGCAACAACAACAACAGCCACATGATAGTGGAGGTGGGGGGGGGGGTGAAGGGATCTCTCAGGACAGACACCTCGTCGCCAGATGAAGTTATGTTTTAATAATACACATACAAATACGTATTTGAAGCTTAGGAAGTATTATTAAATATAAATGATATATGGTAACTTATGCAAATGTACGTAAGGGATTGATTGAGTGCTTGTTGAGGAAAATATGTTTAGTACATGTGCACTCACTTAGTTGTGCTTGCGGGGGTTGAGCTCTGGCTCTTTGGTCCCGCCTCTCAAACGTCAAGCAACTGGTGTACAGATTCCTGAGCCTACTGGGCTCTATCATATCTACATTTGAAACTGTGTATGGAGTCAGCCTCCACCACATCACTGCTTAATGCATTCCATTTACTAACTACTCTGACACTGAAAAATTTCTTTATACGTCCCTGTGGCTCATTTGGGTACTCAGCTTCCACCTGTGTCCCCTTGTGCGTGTACCACCCGTGTTAAATAATTCATCCTTGTCTACCCTGTCAATTCCCCTGAGGATTGTGTACGTGGTGATCATGTCTTCCCGAGCAGTGAGGCACAAGTGTATTCACCTAGTTGTGCTTACAGGGGTTGAGCTGTGCTCTTTCAGCCCGCCTCTCAACTGTTACTAACTACTAATTTTCTTCATTTATTATTCCACCCCCCCCCACACGCACACACCCAGGAAGCAGCCCGTAACAGCTGTCTAACTCCCAGGTACCTATTTACTGCTAGGTAACAGGAGCATCAGGGTGAAAGAAACTGCCCATTTGTCTCTGCCGGCGCCGGGAATCGAACCCGGGCCTCAGGATTACGAGTCCCGCGCGCTGTCACTCAGCTACCAGACTTGTGTGACACAAGAGCAGTGAGGACTGTCTGTAGGTCGGTCTGATCACATGGTAATTCCTTATACTTAGGGAGGTACCCACATGCCAACTATTGACCATATCCCCAGGATACAATTCACAATAGTTGCCTAACTCTCGGGTACCTATTTTACTGCTAGGTGAACAGAGACATCAGGTGAAAGGGAAACTTG